TGTGGTTGCATGTATATTAAGATACGAATGAGGTACACTTCATTTTTCTCAAAATTCAATAAGTAATGATATGTGATGTCGTGACCAGCATTCTGCATCCCGATTGCAAAATTATTTTTGTATGCAAGATTATAAGAGTTATTTTACTTTCTAAGCAAGCTGATTAAGATGTGATGCAAGTGTAGAGACTCTCTGATCTTGTTTAATCCAGCTATACAGACACCATTGTACTTGTAACATCTGACCAAGTACCTGTACAAATCAGTAACCAATCATAACTTTTGTTACATGTTGTGTGTTAGTAATACATGAACTAATTGGTTGACAAATCCATAAGTCAGAGAGGAGCTGCCAGAATTTGGTCAGATGTACCGGATTTTGCTCTAAATTCTCCCATCCGAAAAATCGCTCTGGGCGGTTTCACGGCTGGGTGGCCTTATTTGGGGTTCAAAATTTCAAAAAATGATCATCAAATATTGGGGTGGGGGCTGTATACGGGATTAAAAGCAAACTTACCACTTACGTTGTACATTTTAATTCAGTTGGATATTGCATAGCCCTGGTTTAGTAAAAAAAAATTTTTCACGACGAGTAAAATTTTAATTTCTTCAACTCCGTAGATGCAATTGTATATCACTAACAAAGCGACATGTTGCCATAGCAAGATTGAAACATCCTGCCAACTTTGGTCGGACCAGCCAGGAAGTTCACTTCGTCATTCTTGTACTTGCACCAACCAAAGAGAAAAGTACCAAGAATGCGTTGGAGACGGGTAGAACGTTTTCCACCATTTTTGCCGATATGGATTTCAGACACAAGCTGATTGAAGCTAAGACAGGTTGGTTTCAAATTTGCTTTTAGTTTTTTTGTTTTGCACATTTCAATTTGCATCTGGGTGATGTTTCATGAACTTTTAATCAGAACGGAATGAAATTTGCTAATGCCAAGTGGTATACAATTTAGTTAATATTTATTACCTATTTATTAATTTATACATATACGTGAACTCTCTGCTCTAGTATTTACAGACATCTAAGTATGGTCTATGAATAAATGATTGCAATTAAGTCAGTGTTAATATAATGTGTTAATACAATTTGGCAGTTTTGTCTCATTCTGAGAAAGCTTTTCATCCCCTTCACCCTCTATTCAACCCACCCAAGGCAGAGGAACAGGTTTATGTGTGAACATTAACATTTTTACTGGCAGCCACATTGCCCTCTCAGGATAATTTATAATCAGTGCTGAAATTGAACCTATAGAAACTTTAAACTTCTAAAGGTTGATACAAGCAATGTTTATTGAAGTGATAGATAGCTTTGAAAACACTGAAGCTCATTGTCAGTTCTGACCATGCATAAAATTCGCTATCAGTGCCACAATGGCATTCACAGCTACGCTACGCTACCTAGCTACGCTTGATGCAAATCCATATAACATGCTATCAATATCATACGTCTTTGTGTTAATCTTCCCACAATGCTCTCCCAGTGTAGCTATGTGAATAGTGTTTTCAATATAATAATTTGGACGACCACAGCTGATAGTGTACATGAATCATGCTGATGACCTTAGAGCAGCTTGTATTCTAACCTTTTCACCACCCGACTTTCTCACCCAAATTACTCTGCACTTTTTTTCTTATATTCAAAATTTCTGGAAATGAACCTTAATTTTGGAGCCTACAGTCAAAATTAGAGTAAATTTTCAGTTTTTACTCCAAAAAATTTGGCTATTTTTGTCGCAATCTTCTATAAATGGGACAATTTTGTGATGAAAAGTGGGAACTGGTGGGGAAAAGTTTTTTTTACCACTGAAATCATCACATTCTTATTTAAATTAAACTACTGTTGAAGGTGATGAAGAGGATTAAATTCGAAATCTCTTGTTAGAGCTAATCTGAGGAATCTGGGAATAATTTTGATTGTATCGTAAAACTGATTGATTTTTCCCTTAGAGGATTAATTTATATGCTCGTATAATATATTCATTGTGCAGTCAAAAAAAAAAAAAATATTATAATAATTATGTTTCGCGTTATGCATTTTGTAAAAATTGTGTGCATCACAGGTTGTCAGCGAACTTTTCTCAGATTTGTTCATTTCGTCAGAATATCTTCAAATCTCTCATTTTGATTTTTGTCATTTTTGGTAAAAAGTGGTATTCTTGAATATTTTTAATAATAAAAATAAAATAATGTGCCTCAGTAAAAACTAAAGCCATTGTATCGTTGTTGACTTTGAATTAAAATACTGAATTGCTAAACTACGCAATTTGTAATTCACATGAAAATCAGTGAGCCTACTATATACAATAGCCAGCTGTGTTCAGACACTGAGTCTAGTGTTGAAAGACTCTTTGCACAAAAGAGGAATCTCTCCCAATAATCTAAAAAATAAAGAAGTCATGCTGATTGAAAATAAGCATTCCTACATGTACGACGACATTTCATGAATTCTCAATTATTATTGATACTGATTTGTAGTGACAATAAGACAATGTGGTTGCTCAATGATAAATTTTGTGTGTATTGATAGTGGGATGCAATATTGAAGTGCATGGTTTATCCATTTCAGGGATAGATTCTAGCAATGAGCTAATCTACTCAGAGTATCTGTATATGGGCAAATGCAAATGTACTGGTTGCATACATAGGTGCATGCTTGCATGTACCTGTCATGTGCAGCTTTAATAGTCAAATAGATAACTTCCTTTTCCTACTACAGTACTACCGTAATATCTGTATTAGAAGCCGCATCCCTAATAGATCTCGCACCTATTCTTTAGAACCAAAAATTCATTGTTTCTCATACGAGTCAATTCTGTAATAGAAGCCGCATCCTATCTGTTGCATTGTAACATTTTACTAGAAATCGCAGCTTCTAATAAGGATTTTACAGTACTACTACAGCATACAGTATTGAAAACCAGTTAACATCAAAATTTTAACAAAATATATCCATCTATAATTCATCAGAGCTTTGTAAATTTAAAAAAAACAAAACAAAACGTTCTTCATACTGTTTTTTTTCCCTTCAGAGGAAGATTTCAAGAAGGCCTTGAATGCCCATACAGCCGTACTGTCAGCTGAACAAAATTCCTCAAAAAAGAAGGTCAGATCTACAGATGTATTTGATGAGCTAGAGGAGGAAACCGTTCAGAGGGCAAGTAGATTATAATGTTTTGCTAGATAAGGGATTTATTTGAATGTCTAGATTTGATCATAACTTGGCAATTTCAATCCTTGTACAAAATTATATTTCAACTTTAGTTCTCAGGTATACCTTACAAATGTTGAGTTACCATTCTGTATTGTTTAGCAGTGTTATTTATTTCTGCAGCGTATTTTCAATAATTTTTTTTTAAATGTTGTATATATTGTGACACACAAGTTCATAAAACTGATGGTGAAAGAGGTGTTGTTGCTAAATTGGGGGAAAAAATGCAATGTTTTATTTTTAATCTGGGTGTCTTATTTCACAGGGGAAACGTTGTTCCTTCTCCTTTGCAAGTGGGCTGCGAGCCGATTTTTGGCGACGTATTCCCCACTACTGGAGTGATTACAAAGACGGTGTGATTGGTCATAAGACACCTCAGAAGTCAATATCAACCACGTTCTTTTTGTACTTTGCTATATTACTTCCTTCTATCGCGTTTGGTGTGCTCAATGACAAAAATACCAATGGTGCAATAGGTACGTCCTACTTGTTTATTGTTCTTTTAATAAAACTTATAACTGAATCATAGCAGTTTTCTCTGATATCTCTATCCACATGTTCATAAGTCATTTCTGTTTTTCAAACTGTAACTGAGGCAGAAACTACACATACAGTTAATTATTTCATAAATAACTTGTCATTGTCTCAACAATCTTCAATTTTACCTTTGGAATATCAGAAATGTACACAAAGCAAAGCTTGAAAAAATAGTGGTAAAAAATGCTGTTATTTTTAATAAGAATATTTTTGTTATTCCATATTAATTCATATTTTGGGGATATATAATTTTAATTGTTTTGATTTATATCTGACTAAGTATTAACAATTTCACATTAAAAGTAAGGTACATGGACAGAGTGGACCAGTAGCCAAATTGCATTGAAAAATAAGTTGGCCACCAGACTGATCTCAGATAGTAGTCTAAAAATTAGTGTCCATGGATGTGAATGACAAGATTAATATTGTTTGACCCATCTCAACTTGAATGCTTTTAACATAGACCAAGGTTGACTTGAAATATCTGTGCTATGTTTGATCCATTTTTGCTTGTTTAACTGACATTCGTTGTAATGAAGTTTGACTTGTCTCCATCGCTGGCTCAATTTATTTATGAATAACATACACAATATCCAAGTTCAAACTTTTGAAAATCAAGAAATGCAGATGGTTGAGTGTTCTGCTTAACTCCCCTTGTTATACTGTATTCGACCAGCTTAGCATCCAGTGATCTTACCTCATAAAATCATCACTCTTAAAGGGGTGGACGCTTTGTCATGCATTCTCTTCAAATAAATTATGAAAATTACAATTTCGCTCAGCGTGTTGCTGGTTTAAGGGTTTATTATGTGTTTTTGAAAAACAAAACAAAAAAAACATTGCCTATTGAAAAGTGTTGCGTCATTGATTTCTCCCCGACATGTCACTTTTACCATGAACAATACACAAAAAATGTTTTCATTTCTTCAGAAAACTAAAACAATGATTTTAATAAATGATGTCCAATGACCTTGCTTATTTGGGACTGGGGTGGGCACTAAGTTGAACTCTGCTTCAAATGTAGAAGTGTGCAAAGTATAGTAGAGGGCTTAATTGTTCAATTACAATATTATATTACATGTATCACATTGAATACACAGAGCCAATACTACCAAATCATATCTACTACCAATCAAGTAAAATTTGTGTGGTGCTATTAAAAAAAAAAAATTTTTCTTGCAGATGTAAAGAGGGTGATTGTGGCTCAGGGTTTTGGAGGATTATTTTTTGCTCTGTTTGGTGGACAACCGTTGATTATTTTGTTAACAACAGCTCCGCTTGCACTTTTCATTAATCGTAAGTCTCGCTGTTATTTTAAATCTCCAGCAACTGTTTTACTCATTTGCTCAGCTTTGTGTGGGAAATTTTCTAAACATTTTGTGGGTTACTTTGAGTTGTGTTTATTCATTTACAGAGTATGTTTCTGCAAAATCGGAGGTGATAATATATGGCAAACAATTCTGTTATTTCAACAACTTTTTTTTGTATTTTAATAACAATTCGTAAATTTCAAAGGTAACACAATAAAAACGTCGGTATGTTTGGTACAAAATGGAAGCTGATGTTGTCAAATTCTAGCATATACTATCTATTTACATGCATCACCCCCAATTCAAGAGCTGGAGATGGGCATTGGGATTTTGTGAAAACAAATTATCGTGGGTAAAAAGAAAAATTTAGTCTGAATTTGTATAAATATTTACTTATGAGAACACGTACACATGTTTTTTTTTAAATGACTTCCTTTGTGTTCATATGTTCATACATGTAGCACTAATCACTGCCGTTATTTAGAACGCCACGCACACATGCATACATGCATGCACTCACTTTTGTTGGTGCTTCGTTGCCAGTTCCATTCATTCAGTTTTTTAACCTTAGTTACATGTGTATGATATCATGTGTGAATAGTCATCAGACTTTATTTGAATAAAATGTCTGGAAATAACATCCCTCTAACCCCCCCCCCCCCCCCCTTAACCTCCAAATTTTGAATTGGGATAACCCCTTAACGGAAAGAAACGAGAAATGGATGGTAATATTACTACAAATTTCGTTTTTGGGAATCTTTATAGTCAAATGATAACAAAGTGATCACACTTTTTTTGTTAGAGCCGATTGATGTCATTGGCTGTTTTATCTACTTGCCTTGGGGTTTGTGTACCATACAGCCAATGATGTCACTTGTATCATGTGATAACCATCCTCATAATGTGATGCATGTTGCCACCACTGACAGTTGGGTTGATGTATTCACTGTAGTTTACTGACATTCTATAGCACGCACCACATGCTGTCTTTTTTGTCTCTGAATTGTTTTGCTACTTACTATTTATTTGTATTTACTGCTCACTTTAGTGAAAATATTAAAAATAGATTATTCATGCTGAAAAGTAAGCTTTGGTGATTTCCTGGCATAGATAATCTCTGCTGCTGTGGTTTTTCAATGAATTTTAATAGATTTCAATGAAACTTGGTACATAGATTGTCCCAAATAATGCAGTTCTTGGTTGAAGTTCATGAATTTTAATTGTATTAATTTGCATATTCATGAGCCAAATTTATGGGTGTTTAAAATATCTCCTATTAAAATGAAATCTGTTACAGAACTGCTCTTGGATAACTAGATTAATATTTGGTTGAAATCCATGCATATTGATTATCTGATTTGCATATATCATGATATCTCAATTGCCACTTTAGTTTTCTCTTAGTATAAGATCACTGTGGTTCATATTGCTTTACATTGTACATCTCAAAGAGCTGAAGGTGCTGGAATGTTCATTTGTTGGTATAACCGAGACAGTCATGAGTGACCATAAAAGTCATAAACCAGCTTTGAAAAAGACTCAATTTGCTATTGATATCAAACAGAATATTGCACTGCCAGAGACCAATATTTATCGCAGACACAAACAAGATTCATACTGGGAAATGCATGTAGCTATCTCCCTAGGACAGTCCCTATGCATTGCAATATAGACATTGGCATTATCAAATGATCTAATGTTATGAAAACGATTTTGTGACAATTTCACTTCCCCTGGCGCTGCTTTATTTTAGACTAATTATTGTACAGATACATATTATGGCTAAGTTGTCTGTTTTCGTATTGCAACATTGTTGCAACATTGACTATACAAAGGAAATGGTAAATTATACGTACAAATGTTATTTGCGGTTGCTTCAACCATTGTTGAAGTTAATGGCATTATTGGTACATTGATAAGGAGTTTCCGGGGAAGTTACAAGTTACCCATACTGTTTTGCGCCTGCTGTAATGGGTTCAACTTGTGTGTCTGATGTTAATGTTTTTTTTCTTCTTCAATTTCAGTTATATATGTCATAGCCGAAGATTTTGAGTTGAATTTCTACGCTGTCTATGCATGTGTGGGTATATGGAATTCATTCTTTTTACTCATCTACTCAGTCTTTGGTGCCTGTAAACTCATGAAATGGTCAACAAGGTAGCGTATTACATATATTCTATTATTTATATATATATACCTAGTTGTAACAATTTGAAGATTACACAAAATTAACATGCGTATGATTTATAATAATGATTTTATTTGAGTACCAAAACAAACAAAAAAACCTTCGCATCAAATAGGCAATGGAAATTAGTTCAAAAGTAACAGATTCTAAAACTAATGGAGGGGTAAGGATGGTGGTGAATGGTTTCTTATTATTGTCTGTCAACTACTCAATGAAAGACGCGCACCAAACGTCTGCCCCCCACACAAATCGATCAATTTGATTTTGTACTTTTTTATTTCGTAGCTCACATCAAAAGTCTATAACAGGGGAGTATTACTTCATCCAAATTGACCATCATCAAATGTGTACAGCACATTATTAAGCATGCAAATATCCCCCAAAATATTTTTGTGTTTGTCAAATCCCACGCGATGTTTGACGCCACTACGACGCTATGACCATTGTTTGTTCTGTTTTTACGTTCGGTTTTATGCATAATGCGGGATCTCGCAGTGAACAGAAAATGGTCTATTAACACATCAAGGCCATGTCATGCTTTGCATGCTGATGTTAAGTCTGTGTTGACTGTTTTTAATATGCTTTGGGAAATGTTTCCTAAATATTTTGATTAAAACAAATATATTCCTGAAATCATGCCACTTGCACAATTTTATGAATGATTCTACAGTATTTAGTAGAAGGTGACAACTGTCTCTGAAATTAACGGTATATTACCTGTATGATTGGTTTTGTCCTGTGAGTTGTGCTGCCCTCTAGTGGTGAAACACTTGTCTGATGTAAATGGAGTGAAAGAAACACTGTTGAATTATCTATATTGCTTTGCACTCCTTGTCGTCAGTCTAGAAAATCTAATATATTTGAGAGATCTGTTACTGATTGACTAAAGACTACACAACTAAACTAACATTTTGAATAACGTTTCTTTCATCCTGTAGAGTTATGTCATATTAAGCACCATATCTCGCCACTACACATATATATACATATAACTTTCTGAATCCTCTGAATTAAAATATGAATATATAAATTCAACAGTAGAATGTGTACTGTAAATCGCGAAATGAAAAAAAAATCGGTAAATAGATCACTGTACCATCTGAGTTATAAAACGTACCGGTAGTGAATATCCCTGCAACATCACATCTGCTAAAATTAAAACCCAGTGAATATATTACTTCTGTAAGAAGTTCTCATCATACTGTGCTTGTTTTCTTCACTTCAAACAAAACCAACAACACTAAAAGTTGTTGCCATAGTTATCGTCATGGTAACATTCTCATGTCTCTAACTATTTCAGATCGACAGAGGAAATTTTTGCATTGTTCATCGCCATAGCTTTCTGCTATGACGCTTTTATAGACCTTGCTCACAGTAAGTACGTTTCCTCTACATCTATGTACAGTGTATTAAACAGCATGCTAGCATGCATGCTTTTCTCCAGCAGAATTGGTTTTCTTATCATATTTGAGTTCATGGAACATACCTAGTACCTCCTCTGTCTTGATGTAGTTTTTGGCTCCCATGTGTTCAAAACACAAACAGGAAGTATGTCTGTCCAAAATGAATTTGAAACATAATTGATATTACTTAATTGTTACGTGATGTTGGTCATCATTCCAAATTGTTGCACAACAAAAACCCCTTTTTAATTAAACATGTACAGCCAACAAGTTATAACCAACTATGTCTGTATGTATGATACAAAACACCATATTTTATTAAAGAAACGTACTCAATTTAACATTGAAATTAACATACTTTCCTTGTAATTATACTAGACAAATATTAGTCTTTCAAAAGTTATTTTATTCACTTTGATATAAGTTTAACTTCTACTTTTTTTTTCTTTTTTACAAGTTCATACTCGCTCTTTGGTATTGGCAACATGGCAATGATTTGTCACCTGATTCCTTTCTGTAGATTGTTAGCAAACAACCATGACTTGTTATTCACAAAAAGTCTGTCATTCTCTGCTTCAACCATAATCAATGACAGACCCACACAGCAAAATCACGCCCTCTATTGCCAATGAATATTTTACTTTTGTTTATATTATGACCAAACATTACCAAAAAAAAAAAAATGAAGTCTTTCTCTTCTCTGTCTAATATCTAATACAAAAAAATAAATGTGCAAGATATTTCCTGGAGCAGAAACAAATCTTCTGCTGGGAGGGTAATTTTTAAAATGATCTTTTGCATATTGGAAAAGGAGTGCAGAGAGTTTGGTAGGTCGAGCACTCAATGTTCTTGTGTTTTATTCATCAATGATGTTAGAGGGCGCAACTTATTAACTTGACTTGATATTTATCATGTGTCTTCACTTTCAGACTTTGATGAGAACTACGTGGATCCATTATGTAACTGTTCATCACCGTATCTCCAGAACAATAACTCAAGTGCATTGCTGGATTATGTGCTTAACAATGGCACTGACGAGGATTTTGCCACTTGTTCGGTGTTGTGTACACGAGAGAACTCGTTGCTGTATCTGATACTGCTATTTGGAACCGTTTGGCTGGGACTCCTATTGTATAATTTCACCAAGAGGTAATTTCAACTTTTGAATCTTTGACTTAATTGTATAAAAAGAATTGTGCTATGGCAGTATTCACTGCGTTTTAACTCACACATATAACTGCATGTATTAAATAGTAGTGGTAATATGGCAGGCATTCTTCTCGACTCTTGTGTGTCAGTCACATAAATTTCAGAAAAGCAGTGGACCAAATACATTAGAGGGAATCAAGCATTTAAACAAATCTGATCTGATCTGACCTGACCTGTGCTTGTATTCGTCATTTTGTTATCATTTACTTGGATGTTAGATGTGGAAATCTAACCTACTTTTCTCTGAAACTTCCATAAATAATGTGTTTACTTTCTGTAAGGGAGTACTGTAAAATACTTTATTTTTGCTTGGAGTTAATTTTCGCTATTTTTTGTGAAGGAATGATTCAGTGAAAATAAAATCCAGGGAATATACGTTTTTCCTTATTTTTTACATTCAACTCGTCAAAAATCAGTGAAAGAAAATTGTAAACAAAACACCCAAAAAGTCCTTTCAAGGAAAATTAATTCCAGCTAAAATAAAGTATTTTACAGTAAATCTAAATCGGATTCAGCCATTTCTGGCCCAATATCCCCTGAGCTCTGAGGAGTTACTTTGTCCTCCACGAAGTTCAGCAGTTAAGTGCTAAATGCAAGTTTATAGAAGAATTTATTAACTGGAAGTTCAGTGTGGCACCCATTATTTTACTCCAAAAGAAAGTAAATTGCTATAAAACAGGGTGACTTAAATGTATATTTGTACATTTTTAAACATTGTAGTAAAGTTTCTGTTTTAACTTTAATTATTCCTTTCTTGATAATGTGTTTGCTTATTCGCCCCCATGCCATGGCCATGCACCCCACCCCCCACCCTGGTGAGCAGAATCTCTGGCAACCAGAAAATTCTGATTGACAAGGAATCACATGTGGCCACAGTCTTCAACTGTGACCTGTCTGATAGTAATTTTGGCCCGAAGGAAGCCGTAGAATGCTCCATTGTAACTTAGAATTATCAAAAACTCCACACCCTGGGAGAACCCTATCTCCTCCACTTGGTGGCACTTCTGAATTGCAGTGCTCCCTCTTGCAGTTTTTTTCTATAAAAACCCCTGCAGGCTGTAATATTTATTGTATCACTTTGCTTTGTTTAAATAAAACACCTGACGACAACCCAACAAATATTTTGCTATGATCTGAATAAAAAAAAAATATTCCCAAATAAATATCAGGCCATTTGATTTTTGATCACACTCCTATAGCTGTACAAATACTACATACTCCATATTCATGATAAAAATGACACATTTCTCTCCTTTGTTCTAGTCCATATTTGGATGCCAGTAAGCGTGAGTTGTTAGCAGATTATGCTTTACCAGTGGCGGTTATAATAATGTCGTTTATCGGTTCTTTTTGCTTCAGGGCTGTTGATCGTAAGTACCCAATTCATCAAACCATGGATTAAAAGCAATATACATAAATTCAGTTTGTTAAAACAAATTATCATTGATAATACATGTATAAAAAAAAATTCTGTACAAAACTTTTAGTCTCAGCACTGAGAAAGTCTGAAAAACACTGGCCATCGCACTTTGGCGTCTTTATATTTTAGCACACCAACATACAAATACCTTATAACTGCAGCGCCATAATTCTATCTTCATGTGCCAAGAACTGTTTCTTGCCAACCGATCATCGCACACGATCACAGGCCCAAAACATAAACAAACAAAAAATGCCAAGTCTGAACTATTGGAATTATTAGCTCTGCTGTCAATAAAGAGCTGTTGAAATAGGTAATTGTTCAACATTTATTTTCAAACAACTTCTTCTTGAAGATCATTCATTCTATTGTTTTTATGCTTGGTACATAGGTTTCTTGGGTGGACTTCTGAGATTTGATTATTTTGTGATGATATCTTCAATTCTAAATATTTTCATAATTTTTTGATGAAAAAATGTTATTTTTGTCTTCCTTTTGTCTTTGATTTTTCTAATTAAAAATAAACTACCAGCTCAATTGCTTTGATACTTGGTATGTAGGTATCTTGGTAGGACCTCTGTCAGATTTGTTCATTCAATACATTTTGTGATGATATCTTCAATTCTCTATTTTTAGCAAACATATTCCCAATTTTCGAAAGGTGAACCGTGTGGGGTTGAATTGTTTAAAACACCTTTCATGGTCACCAACAGGTCATGCTGCAAAATAGTTTACTTGTTCACACCCCATTCACAATAGTCTACGACCACCTTTTTGGTAAAAATAAATGCATGTAGTTGTACACACACTCAATGTCTTGTTTCGGAAAATTTGCAGCATTTTAACTTAACTGGTGTATCAATATATCATATTAACATCTCTTTACAGTTGAACCATGGCCTTATACTGATAGTGATCTGTTTGCAATCGCTCCATTTCAAACGTTGTCACCGGCCGCCATTGGAGGATGTGCTATACTTGGTTTTCCATTGTCGTTACTCTTCTTCATGGATCAAAACATATCAAGTGCATTAGTCAATGCTCCTCAAAACAAGTAAGTTGACATCATAGAATTGAAATGAATCAAAACATATCAATGTTTGTCAGAACAAGCAAGTTGACATACATTTTTTTTTTCTATTTTAAATTTTTTTTTACAGTGCATTTCAACGTAGATTTCCTAAATGAACATATAGTAAAGTGTTCATCAGTGTGCGTGTATGTTTTGATTTTCAGGGAAAGTGAATGTAATAATCCAACCATCAATTATTTCCTTCCATTATGTACCACACTTCTGGGAGTATTTTACAATATAGATCAGTGTTAGGTACGGTACATTTGAAACAAATGTATTGATCAATAACATTTCATACAACAGGTGCATCAATTCTACGATGAAATGCACTTCACGTCAGTAATCAGTCTAGACTGTGTATGTACAATGCACTACAATGATCAGATATTTTATAAATCAAATTGTACATAAATGAGTATAATCATTTAATATATACATGTAAACAATTGTGATCAAAGCAATTGTTAATTTAATAATAAAATAATCTATTTTAAAATTCAAGCTCTGATTTCTTTTTCTTTGTTTCAGATTAAAGAAAGGTTCTGCTTATAACTTAGATTTGCTCGTTGTGGCTTTTATTAATTTTATACTGTCAATCTTTGGGTTGCCATGGATACATGCTGCTTTACCACATTCTCCTCTTCATGTAAGAGCCCTGGCTGATGTAGAAGAAAGAGTTGACCAGGGTCACGTACATACTATGTAAGTGTATGATGGCGCTGTGTATTGTATATCTCATCTTTATTTGCACCCGTCTTCTGTACACCTGTCCATGCGTTCTTTGTTTATAATCCCAGACATGCATGAACTGATTTCATTCAAACTTGGTACATGTGTGATATAGTAACCAGTTTAAAATTTAGTTTTTAAATGAGTTTTTAAAATACAAAATTATGTTGAAAATTTTTAACTGGTTGAATTAAAATCATTAAATGGCATACATTGTGTATCATTTGTTCCCATTTGTTTGTATTTTTTCCGTTCATTTTGGATGTCTGCGAAGGCATTCAGCAGGTGATTTTAACTAAATTTGCTGTGAGATCGGAATTTGACAGACTTGACCTATCCTTGGGGCGGACATCCAGGTATTTTCACCACCTGGCAACCATAAAAATCTCAGAAAACTTTTTTCTTGGGATAGTCATTGAGACTCTACTGAACAGTGTAACAAGATTACCCCTATATGTGCAGCATATATAAATTCAGCTGCTCGGGGTTACTTTGAAGTTGAGTTTGTGCTGTTTTCCCGACTTTAGCTGTTTTCACCTGCTTTCTGACTGGTGTTCTACAGCAGCTCGTAAAGAGTTCATAGAAATACATGTATAGTGATGCACGTCTTGGCAACATAGAACATTCTGTGACGTAGCTCCACCCCGAGGATAAATATTTCTTACTGACCAATACAAAGTAATTCAAATTTCGTTGTATGCTTAATGAAGAATTGGTCCTATTTATGCAGGCTATTTAACATATTAATACTTTTTTTATTTACATCCACAGTATTGTACACGTACGTGAGACCCGATTGACAGCAATAATTTCACATATTTTTATTGCTTTATCTTTGTTCCTGTTACCTCTTCCATTACAATACATTCCACAAGCCGTACTTTATGGTCTGTTTCTGTACGTTGCGTTTACATCGGTAGACGATAACCAGATGTTTGACAGGATATGTCTCTTCGTCACAGAACAGGTAGGTTTTTTTCACGGCATTGGTGTCTGAACACTGATAAATAGTAGGCTCGCAAAGTTTGATTCCACATGAGTAGAATGCTCAGCTTTCAAGAGTCAGAAATCACTGTTCAGTATTTGATTATACATCTGTAAATTGCTATGTACCCAGTGAGTAATAAAGTACTCATCCACGTTACACTTAATTCTCTGATTTGTAAAATTGGACATGAATTTCTCCAACTTTTTTTATTGGCATTCTATTTCGGACCATTGTTTCGACAAATAGTCAGCAATGCCCAGCACATTATGAAGTGAATTGTAGTTAATCTCAAGCACTGTGTCATCTTAGTTTACATTTTGTGGTACCATGGAATGAAATGTGTTTAAATGTTCAAATTTTGTTTTGTTGTAGGCTGCCTATCCACCAAACCATTACGTACGTCGTGTACCACAGCGAAAGATTCATACATTTACAATCCTTCAACTGATACAGCTGACTGTATTATGTATTTTTGGGTTTGTACCACAAGTCTATCTAAGAATGCTGTTCCCAGTTGTTATAATGCTATTTATGCCAACCAGGTGAGTGTACTAGGAATCAAATCTTTCCATATTTGTTATTTCAAACTCTGTTATTGGTAGCCATATTGGTGCTTTTTCAACAGTTTTGCTGTATGTCTAAAATGCAGAACGTCGCAAGGTGCATGGAGCACTAATTACATTGCAAGACTCTATTGGTGGATTGAAATCGTAGCTTTGTGCATTGATGAAACGCTAGTTTTCTTGGGAATGGTACAACTGTTTTACTAACAATGAACTTTGTATTGGTGCAGCAAGTTCACCAACTTTTATTTGTGTGTTTTTGCATGCCATTTTGTTTCAACTTGCGAGTGGATATTACTTTTTTTTTAAAAGGTTGATTTTTACTATGAAGTTAATATAGAGCTAATAAAACATGTTAATTTTATCAACAGATTCAAGCTTGTACCATTGGCCATAGAAAAGAAATATCTTGAAGCCCTTGATAAGCCTCATTAGTTGGACATTTGACAAGATCAGCTGTGCATATTCTTGCATATCATTATCTATTGCTTTCTGCGATGTGTACTCGATATTGTCTTGTGTTTAGCTGTTACTGTGAAAGTTTCTCTTACTACACCATATTTTTCTCTTCATTCCAAAAATGAATCTTTATGTTTTCCGTGACGTTTGCAGAGATTTTATAGAGGAACCAATATATTATTTTGTGATACTTCTTCTAAAGCATGAAATAAGAACTATATTCGATAACTTGTTTAACTTTGTACAGTTGATTCTGCCATGTTGATAAAATGTCTGAATTGATTTACATTTTTTTGTTCTTGTTCGTTTGGACTTATATTATACAGATTTCAGTGTGTTAGTTCTTTCTTTGCCAATGATAGAAATGTGTTAAGACGTTATTTGAGTGCAGATATGTAATTATTTTCTAATTTATTTTTATTTTTGTGCGTGTACTTTGGTGCTATGTTAACTGCCTGATTCAATTACCTGGTGGCCCAAAGACACTCCCGGCTAGGTGAATATTGGCATTGTGGCTATGAATGTCTTGCACTGTATTTGCTCTATTATAGTTACACCTGCATTTACATGTTGTCATACATTGTCCCTCTATGGTCATACTCATCAAGTATTACAATGAATGCAACTTTCAGTTTACGTACACTTCTAATGGAGCAAATATGGTAACCGTTCACTTTTTTTTTTTTCATATGCCAAAAAGTACATCTTCACTTGGTTTACAGAATAGTTTCAAATTTATACAAAGTTTACTCAAATTTAAGTATATTTTAAATGGATTCTGCTTTAATATGTATAAATAAGAAATGTCGGATAAATATTTTATCTTTTGATCAAACACAACGTAACGCAGTACAATTGGTATGGCGCCTTTGTGGTGAAGTGACTCTGGCAAACATACCTATTTTATTTCGCGTCAGATTTGTTTTCCCAAGACAAAATTTCGAGTTAAGAAAAGTTGGGTGAAATTACTGATTGTAGTTTGCACCGGCCAATTATAATTTGCTGTGCAGTTGCAATTGTCAGCTGACCTTATGAAACTGTAAGCCGTGCATAGCTCCGTTGCACTGGAAATAGCGGACGCAATATTATACATTATTTGTTTCTGTTTTTTTAATTGTATCAATTTAGACCAAGCCACATCCATGAATACACCATTCCTGAATGTTGTTCCCTCTGTCAAAGTGTTTTTGCTGCAAAAAGAAGAAAGTTGTTCATCAATGACAAATGATGCAACAGAACCAAAGCTGTATTTTTTTTTACATTCAACCAAATCCACTGAAAATTGGCCAGTTAAAATAAGGCAGTAGATACCAAATTGTAGCCATTACTTGGTGACATAATCCATTCAAAGAAACCGCATTGTTTGTGTGCAAAGAATGTGAATATCAAATAATTGTATAGTTACTGCAGGCCCTTTTAAACATTAGTGGTGATTAATCCAGAGTAAACTAGGTGTGCATGTTGACTTGCTAATTAAGTCAAATTCAAACCCGTATACTAAGGCATTAGTCACACCTGTTTTTCCAATAAAAGTCTTTGGAATTGTGATTTCGAGGCATGGTAA